CACACACACACACACACACACACACACACACACACACACACACACACACACCTCCGATAGGACTCAGCCAAATGGGTTAAAATCCCCACACTACGATCCTAGTTCAAAAACGTCCAGTCTGCCATTTGAACCAGGACTATCTGACTCATAGTCCAGCATGAGCTAACGGAGCACCCAAGACCCTTTTTGTTATCTTGTCTTATCTTATCTTATCTTATCTTATCTATTTTATCTAATCCTATGGTAAAAGTAAAGTATAACTCCTCCCCACATCGTTTTTGGTAAACAGTCGAAGACTACAGGCATACCTGTTATCATAAGACAGGCATGGTCGAAGCAGTCCGCCTCCTACATGCCTAAATAGTGTCGATGGGGTCGTAAAACATTGTACTCACTAAAGAGCGTCTCAAACACACTTTATTAAAATTTGTAACCAACAGTGGAAAGGAAAGGCGTTCATGACGTTAGTGCACGAATACAAACAATTATTTTTTTGGCTAGTTACGATCCATCGCAAGATCGCTACTCATACAGTCGGTTGACCGTTTGATATAGCTTTATTTTCATTCCAATCAAAATTCTTCTCAACTGCATGACATACATTTCTTCTTCTTCCAATGGCAACCTACTTCCCCATTATTCAAGCTTTTAAACAACAGAATATAAACATGTCCAGAAAAAAGGAGACAACAGGGATCTCTTTCTCAACTTACTTTGAAATAACTAGTAACTTTGGTCAATAAAAACAGTGTGCTTAAACATCGACAAATTTTATTAGCAACGAGCTGTAATGGAATATTCCAGGTCAGATGGACAGGGGAAGACCAAGAACAATGTTGCTGAAAAAAGGTAAAGTCAACTTTTAAGAAACTGGAAAAAAAACTAGGCCCAACAGGAATAAGATGCGCAAAGAAAACACCTTTTGAGGTACTATGTTGATAGCCTGATGATTTGTTGAAAGCTCGACGATCTGTTGATAGCCTGATTATTTGTCAATAGCCTGATGATTATTTGTTGATAGCCCGAGCTCCTAACCTAGGTAAAAAGCAAGAGATTATGCTCAGAAGCATCAAAACGTTAGTTGACATTTAGATTGAGGCACCTAGGCTCTTTGAGTTCGATTCCAAAGTGATGAATATTCAGTATGTCCACCAACTGCAAAGATCTGCCCACACTTCAGTCAAGGTCGGAGCGATGTGTATTATATCATAATCTTAATATGTAGGTGTGTTGGTGTGACAGTAAAACAATAAAATATTGTTTTTAGAGCAAAACAAAATATGACTCTAATTCAATTGTAAACCAACGTGATTTTATTACCCAAACAATGTCAGAGAGTGTGGACACAGATCACAAAAACAAATATCTTAGAGAAAGTACTCACGTATTCAGGTGAACATATATTGTGTGCACGTGGTCGTTTGTGTTTATGGGGGTTGAGGGAGGCATAGGGTGGGGGTTGTGTTTGGGAGTTGCGGTGTCAGGGCCTGTATTACCCTACGTGGCGTCGGTGGCATTGTGGTCAAGCTTCTGGACTCGTAATCGTGAGCTTGCGGGTTCGGGGGTTCGAGCACCAGGCCCGACCTTGTGTCCTTGGGAAAGACACTTTACATGAATTTTCCCCACTTCACTGAGATGAAAATGGGTACCCGGCTATAGACAGTGAAAGATCTTGTCAGTTTGTTAGTGTTTGAGCGATTAACCAGCTGCTTGCACTGTATACTTCCCTGGAAGCTGAGAATGTTTCGGAGTGTTCTGTGGTCTGCTGGGGTAATACTATAGTGTAAAGCGTAGAGCTTGCTTTCGAATGGGGATATGCGCGATACAAATGCAATTTATTAGATTCGATGGCCTAGTGGTTAGGCTCTCGGACCCGCAACCGTAAGATCGTGGGTTCGAATCCCGTCAGGGGCCCGACGTTGTGTCCTTGGGAAAGGCACTTTGCACAAATTTTCCTCACTTCAACGAGGTGGAAATTGGTACCCGGCTATAGACAGTGAACGATCTTGTCAGTTTGTTCGTGTTTGAGCGCGTGAAATCCGCAGCTTGCACTGTATGCTGTTGCAAATAAAATATTTTCCTTTACACTGAAGTTGTGCGCTTCAAATTTGTTCACAACATTTTGAAGTCAAAAGGAATTTGTCCGACATTCATTTTAGAAAAATCCACAGAACAATTTTTCTTTTACACAGCCCGTAAAAAAACCATTTTCAGCTATGTCCCAATTTTCGTAGCATGGTGCACTAGTTCGCATTTGGCCTACCACTGAAAGTCCCGTCGATTGAGCCACATTGCATACTGCAGTAGTCGAACAGGCCAACAGAAGTTTGCAGATAGTTTTCTCAAGTTTCCTGCGCCTGCTGTTATCATGGTTAAGATTAGTAAAGAGCAGAGAGCTTTTCGTATTGAATATTTCCTCACCACCAACTAACTTCGTATGTTTCACACAGGGTATAGAAATAATGTTAGAGTGCCCTTAAAGCCTTCTTTGAGGTCAAGGGTGGAAATGGTCCATCAGTTAGTACCTGTAGAGAATCAGAACTAAAAATTCCGAGACAAAACGACCTTTTCAGGTCAGACACACACTGTTCGCACTCCTTTAACAGGGTGCAAAATTGAGTGGATGAGTCATATGACACATCTGTCCGGAGACGATGTCTGCAGCAATGAATTTCCTTCATCTCAACTATCCGCATTCTCAAGGCAGTATGATTCGTCGATCGTCTTGAAAAGAGTGGACATGTCCTGTATGACATTTTTGTTCCTTGGCATAGCCCATATTCACTACCTTTCAGGTTATATCAACTTCACAAATGCTGTCTATTTGGGCAACCTCACCCCCTCCCCCTATTGTCTCTAGAAACAGCTCCATACTGTAAGGTGTACAGTGTGTGTGTGTGGCTTTGAGTACTCATGGTTGAGTGGGTCCTTGTATTAGGCCACCATTGAACATACGAACGACGCGTTAAAATGTGTGAGTCCAAAGTAGGACATTTAGACCATTGGTTCTCGGAATTCCAGAATTAAAAACAAAATCTTTTATACTCCGTAGGACGAAAAAAATTGTTTAAGGCTACAGAGATGAAAAGTGAGATTTTAAAAGTAAAACAAAAAGGCAAATCAAAGCAATCACTTCAAGACTTCCCTTACAAGAGTTTTTTAAATTGGTGCATTTTGCATTTATTGGTCGTTTTTATAAAAGCTATTTCCGTTTTCAAAAATAAGTTTCTTATTTGTAAATTTCATGTCAAAAGAATTCCTTTTGAATGAATTATATCTATTCCAAATTGTACCATTGTAGTACAAATTTTGTGCGAGATATTCAAAAAATAAATGGAACAGTTTTTTTAAAATCTCCCTGTTTTTGTGTGTTGGGGGGCAGGGGTATTTATGTGCAGCTAGGTAAATTGTTTGTGATTCTGTGTGTTTGTGCGTGCTCTTCTATGTGTTTGTATGTTTGTTTATGCTTATGTGATTTAGTCAGTTTATACACAAAAGCAGCTTTTTTATTCAGAGAGACAGAAAGAGTGAGAGGGGGAGAGAGTAAATGTAGTTGCACGGAATGCGTGAGTACATGCATACATGGTGGTGTTAGTGTAGTGTGGATTCCCTTATTCTTCCTTACAATGACTGAAATCAGCAGAAGAGATAACGAAATGCCTCACTGTTACAATAATGATGTTCTTCTTTGTAATTTTCCACCCCACTCATGGCGCACTCGTTTGTTCGAAATAGAAAGGCGAATTAATTACCCTCCTACTTTCCATAATATTCTATTCTTAACCATCTCAAAGTTAGGGATGCCCAAAATCATTTTTTATGTTTTAAATACTATTACTTTAAACCTACTCTCGAGTACTGGGCATCTTAAATGTTCCGGGGTCCCTCAAAAAAAGGGAAAGGCTTGAGTGGAGGTATCAACTTGTCTGGTTGGTGGGGATTTCACAAGATGAGCAGTGGCCTCTCTGGCATAGAGGCTAACATCTTCTCTCAGTATTAGTTTTCCAGCTTATATCCAGCTTTCCGTGATACTGATCGGATAATGAAGCGTCCAAATTAACAATACATTTTACTGTGTTACGACCCAGTGGAATCAAGCGCTTGTCAATTTTGGGGCGTGTGGATTTATTGTATAATATTTTAAAGTTTGTTTGTTGTTGTTGTTGTTGTTGTTGTTGTTTTGGTCTTGCTTTTGATGGAGAAAATACCCATCCATCTTGAATAGAAGTTGAGATGTCTGCAATTGAAGGAGATGTGGCTCGTCTGGTATCATCGATTAAATTAGAGAGAAAATGACCGAGAAATTTGGGTATTTTCCATAGCTCGAAAGTTCTTTGACCCAGGAAATAATTTACACTTTTCGGCACGTTTATTTGAGTTTTTCAGTAAAATCCATACAGAAATGTATTTGTACAATGGGCGTACACAGTATTGAGCCAAAACACACCCAAAAAAATCGATAAAAAATTACAAACAGACGGGAAAATGCGGGTTTCTTTGATTCCATTGTTTTGACAAGCGCCTGATTTCACCACGGTGCCTCCCAATTCGGAGATCTTTCTTAGAGGCGCTTGCATTCTAAAGCGGTAATCTGTATCTACTATGATGGTACATAATATAGCTCATATCAAAGCAAATAGAAAACCAAGTTGGCTGCTGTGAATAGACTCCAGTCCAGGGTACTTGCTCTTCGGCTCTCACTTCAAGTACAGATCCTGCAGGTTGCTGAGGGGTTTCTCAATAAGGAGATGGGCCACAGTTGACAGAATGGCCGTTATCAGCAGCACTCCGTTCGTTAGGACGAACTGAAAATAAAAAGAGAATAACATAATACATGTATTATAGTATTATATTTTTATTTTCTAGGTGAAGTATCTAAGCATTTTTGCCAGCCTTAGCCTTTAAGTTGGTGGCAGCAGGCCAATGGTAAGTTGCTATAATAATTAAAGGGCGGTCAAAAATTCGTGGCCTAAGTTATCCTGAAATATCTCTTTAACGGGTGAACCAATGTCAACCGTACTTTGCGCAGCAGTTTGTATTAATTTTGTCTTAACTTAATCATATCTTTCCACAATAGTCGAGGCTAGATTAAAAGACTTTTCTTCATAAATTCATATATTAAGATACTATAAATTTTCGTCACACGGAAAATGGAATTGTTCACAGCACGTCCCGCTTCTAACACACATTTTACACAAACACATATTTTATGGCCTACGTTAGGGCTCACAAAAGGCACATTTTAGTGACAAAATTTGCTACAAAAAATTAACTTTGTAGTTAACACTTTTTTTCACTTAATGTTCTCAAATCATGCGTTCAATAAGCATAATTTTGCGATTTAGGAGAGAAAAAATGATGGACTTGCTTTTAAAGGTGATTTTGCCGCATCCGTAAGCTTTTTAAAATCAGTAGAAACCACGCACTTGGATTTTTTAATCAGTATTTATTAAGGAACTTTCCAAATACAGATAACATGTGTCTACACAAATATTGATCTGGTAAGGCAAATTGATACACGGCATAGTGCAAAAGCTGGAGTGTCTATTTTCGATAGTTTAGGAAATATTTGACAATACGTTGCCCAACGAATTTTTTACCTCACTATAGGGAGGGTGACAACAGCATGTCTTATAGTACTGGCCTGCATGACATGGTGGTGGTGGGGGGCAGCCACCAGTTTGATAACCTCAGTTATCTGGAACTGTGAGGCCCTAGTGAGTGGTACCTCTGTGCAGTCTGTCCTTCAACATGGATGGCATTCTGAGAACCTCTTGCACCTAGATATTAACCTGGTCGTCTTGATTTTATCTTGGCAACAGATTCATTGTACCTTGGCAAGACAGTGACTTTGATTTTGAAGCCGCTCTTTCTTACTTTAAACAGATCTGTGCACAAGTTAAACAGCTGCTCTTATCCCTCTTTTTCCTTTTCTTTGTCATATATCCTCAAAACATTTCTTTGAAGATTGGCAAGTGCGGGCGAAGTGGGCTTGCCTAGGTTTGGGGCTGTGAAACCTGCACGTAAGGGGGCCATGGGTTTTGATCGATTCATAACCAAGATGAGGCAAGGGTATCTGAGCTGCATTTTAGAATAACACTGCTCATCCCACAAGAGGAATGGACTAGAAAAGGTGCCTTACAGACAGCTCTCCGTATCTGCATGGACTGGTTTACCGCGATCAGTAGGAATGCCACAATGAAATCGAAAAATAAGTAACCAAAATTGTTGAAAATTGTTAACAGGGATATTTGCATACTTCAGTACAATATTAATTGTTTCAATCCTGAAAGGCGGACAGCAGTCATTACAATGAAGCTGAGTCATTGTGATTTTGTTATCGTTATTCTCAGTGAGACTAGATTAGCTGATCAAAGGCAGTTAAAATACCCAACTGGGGGCTATTCTTTCTTTACGGAAAGATAAGGAAAGGACACACTTTTACATTTTGTTGACGTTTTCATGACAAATCACTTCGCGGCCCATCTGGAATCCCTACCAGAAGATATTAGTGACAGACTAATAGTTCTCATATGTCCCCTGGACAAGATCCAATACGTACTAATTGTTAGTACATAATAATATGCTCCTACGATGAACAATCTAGATGATGTCAATGATTTTTTCTATTATATTGTGACCTAGAAACCGTCAATGCTCTGCCCCAGCTTCTGACAAATATAAAAGACGCTTTCTATTAAACCTAAAGACCAAGGTCTGCTTAGGTAAAATGAGAGCTAAGTGACGTAAGAAGCGTATGAGGAGGCTTTAAATGTTCAAACTGTGGTTAATTTTTCTCCCTCCAGAATTGGTCTTATCGACCAAAGCAAAAGTCATAACTCATCATAACCTTTAATTTCAAATTCTTCTATTTCGCTGAAGAAATATTCTCCAAGGCGGATGTATTGGGATTGTCAGAGAATGATGGGCGAGCTATCAATAGTATTATTACTTACAACAAAAATGATAATGATTGTGAAGACAACGACGACGACGATGATGATGATGTTGATGATGATGATGATGATGATGATGATGATGATGATGATGATGATGATGATGATAGAGTACGAACAGTACAACAACCTCCAGAGAAAAACAAACTTACGACATTGGGCAAAGATATAAAAGCGACATGGTGAATGGACCTCACTAAAGCGGATATTAAAAACAAGTGGATGAGGTACATGGCGTACGACAGCTTTGTCCCAATGCTGAAGATACCAAGAGACAAGAAACTGTTGATTGGTGCTGAAAAAGAAGAGAAGAAAACATGGCATACTGAGAGAATTTCATACATATAGACCCCCCAAAGAGTGAACTTTCTAAGCAATTCTTTGATAATCATTCTAGATCCTCCGAATATTTTGAATAGTATGCAATACATTAATAAACTTGCTAGACGGTGAAATATAGTTAAGGGTATATGATGTATTGTTATGTATAGAACACGTGCATGTTTTTACCGCCAACAACAAAGAACAGATTGTTTAGTTGTTAATGTTTTGGTTTTGTACTTACGTTTTGTTTTCTGCAGGTCTCTTCGTTTTTGTTTTGTTGTTTTGTTTGTTGTTATTTTGTTGTTGTTGGGTTTTGTTTGGGGTTGTTTTGTTGTTGTTGTTTTGTTTTTTTTGTGTGTTTTTTTTTTTTTTTGGGGGGGGGGGGTTCGTGCTAACTCCATATGCAAGATTTTACACTCAAAAGGCGTTGTATAATACCATAATAATTATAATATCATCATAAAATTATTATACCTCAGTCCTGGAACACCTGAAGCAGAAATAGGCCGAGCTAAAGATGAGGACAGCGAGGAAAAAATATCATGAAACCTGGTCGACATAAGAAAGATAGACGAGCGAGAAAAATAGAACCTGGTCCCTGTTATTTATTGGGCAGTAAGGGGGTGGGGATTGTTGCAGTTTTTTGTTGGCTCATTTGTTTTCTCGTTGTTGTTTTCGTTTTTTGAAAAGCCAAGAAAAAAAAAAGAAAATTTGCAGCTTCGAAGGACACTTAACCTTTGGAAATCAC